TTTTTTTTTTTTTTCTTGTATGTTACTTTTAGTCCTTTATCCTTCTTCTTGCATGATGTATGTGTGCTACTATTTATAGAGGTCAAATTAAATTATCTCGAAAAATCAGGTAGAAGGTAGCACCATTTATTGTGGAGAGATAACACACAATAATCCTTATCTTAAAAACATTTATCTGATTCTATCCAAATCCCATTTTTTTCTCATCTCTTTCAAATTTGATTATATATACATAGCATTGGACCATATTTTATTTGCAAATTTATCCGAAAAATAAATAAATAAATAAATAAAAACATGGCAAAAGCTTTTGTATGTCCCTTACTTGTACTCATCATAGCTTTTGGGCTTGTCAATGTCTGTAAAGGCGATTATAATGAAGGGATTGGTGTTTATGAACTGCGAAATGGCCATTTATCAGTGAACATCACTAACTATGGAGCCACCGTTCTAAACGTCGTCGTACCGGACAGAAATGGTAAGTTTTTATTATTTGTAATTCTTGTTAATTTGTGACCAAATTTCAATTTTTTTTTAAAAAATTTTGTGTGTGTTTTTGTGTGTGCGTGTGTGTGTTTTCAGGTAAATTGGATGATATTGTTCTTGGTTTTGGATCCATAGATGCCTACAAGGTCAGCCTGATTAACAAACTCTTCTCATTTTTTTGCATGGAACCAATTGATACTAGAAAATTTTTAATCTCTGTGAGATGTTAGTTTTATCGATTGTGTGTAGAAGCGTGACGAGGCCTTCTGATAATCAGTCGAGCCCGAGCTGGAGCCTTTATCCAGACGAGACTCGGCTCGTTAACAAAATGAGTTCGAACGCGACTCGTTTATCACTATTAATAAGCTAATAAGTTCGAACGCGACTCGTTTATCACTATTAATAAGCTAGTGAGTTCGAACGCGACTCGTTTATCACTATTAATAAGCTGGACAATAAAAAAAAATTGTATAAAAATCACATTTCTTTGTTTCAATTATTTAATTGAGCCTTTATATATATTTTAAAATTGCAGAATGACACAACATATTTTGGTGCAATTATTGGCCGAGTTGCGAATAGAATTGGGGGTGCTAAATTTACCTTAAATGGCACAGTCTACAAATTGCCTGCAAATGACCACGGAAACACTCTCCATGGTATTTTTAATCAATTCTTAATTATTTCTCTCAAAAAAAAAAAAAATTAATAAATCAAAATTGTTATTTTTGTGTACAACAATGAATAATTGAAATTAAATAAATGCTGATAATTTCAAGAAATTAATATCTCAGGTGGGAGCAGAGGATTTAGCGACGTTATATGGACCGTGCGCGAGTACGTAAAAGATAGTCACTTGACACTCTCTTATGATAGCCACGATGGCGAACAAGGTACAAATTATACCCAAAATAAATAAATAAATAAATAAATAAAAATCAATCGAATAGATGAAAAATGGGAAATGCTACGGTCCCGTTACATACCATTCCGTCGAAGTTTGTAACCATTAGATCATCATGTAATCGTCGGGGTAGTTAATCTAACTGTTACAAACTCCGACGGAATGGACGGGACTGTATATATATAGCATCTCCCTGAAAAATGATTTTTTTTTTCTTACGCAAATATCACGATTTTTCTGACATAGGGTTCCCGGGCGACCTCCACGTGACGGTGACCTACCTCATCCTCCCGCCGAACAAGTTGGCCATCCGAATGCGGGCCCAGCCCGAAAACAAGCCGACCCCAGTAAATCTCGTGTCCCACACATATTGGAACCTCGCGGGCCACGCAAGCGGGGACATATTCTCACACACGGTCCAACTCGCCGCCTCCCGAATTACGCCAGTCGATGACCACCTAATCCCGACCGGCCAAATCTCACCGGTCAAGGGCACGCCTTACGACTTTCTCAAGCCACACACTGTCGGGAGCAGGTTCCGCGAGCTCCCGGGTGGATACGACATGAACTACATCATCGACCGCGGTCTGGGCCAGGCCGGGCTTCACCTGACGAGGGCTGCGGTCGTTTGGGAACGGAAATCGGGCAGGAAGATGGAGCTGTGGACCGACCAACCGGGGGTGCAATTTTACACGAGCAACATGCTAAACGAGACGGTCGGGAAAGAGGGGTTCATGTACAAGAAGTATGCCGGGATTTGTTTGGAGACGCAAGGGTTCCCGGACGCGGTTAACCGGCCGAATTTTCCGTCCCAAGTGGTGGGAAAAGGGGAGGTTTATAGGCATGTTATGGTTTATAGGTTTACTGCAAGTTAAGGTTGTTTTGTTGGAGAATGGTGTGGGTGATTAGTAAGGAAACTTGTGTAACAAATTACAGAATGTTTTAGTAGTTATATGTGACTAAATAAAATGAATTAGGGTTGATCTTGTGGGGGCAACATTTCATGTTTACCAAAAATACTAATAATAATGTCCATGTGAAAATGTAAAAAATGGAGTAAAAAATGAAATATTGTTACCATTGATGTGAGAGTTGGAGGGGCATTGAACTGAGCCAATCAATTATGCATTCCACATGTTGATCCAGTCAGACAAAATACACATTATTTCAATTATACTTTATTGATTAATTGTTTGTTGGTGATGAATAATATACTCATACATGATATTGCCAATTGCCTATTGGTTTGTATTAAGTGATATTTTTAAAATAACCGTTTCATAAAATCAAGGGGATGTAGCTCAGATGGTAGAGCGCTCGCTTAGCATGCGAGAGGTACGGGGATCGATACCCCGCATCTCCAACCTTTTTTTATAATTTTTTTTTTTTGTTTGTTCAGTTTTGGGCCAAATAATTTTTTTTTTTGTTGGGTCCATTTTGGGCCGAATGTACCTCTCATGACAGTACCCACCTCTTTTATCTCCTATGCCAGTACGGATACTCTTCAACTGTGTGCTTGTGATCCGAGCTAGGGGTGCACAGAATTTGGTTAACCGACCGAAACCGAAACCGAATTTTTAGTTCGGTATTCGGTTTGCATTTTTTTAAAATTTCGATTTTCGGTTCAGTTTGGATATAGATGTTCTGTTAACTGAACCGAACCGAAAACCGATAGAATACAAATAAATTATAAAATCCATTTATTACCCAAGTCCATGTTGCATTTTAGGCCCATTATGTACAAAAGTATTGAAATAAAGAGGAATTAATGACACTCCTTATGAAATTATTATTCCTTTTTGGCTTCAGCGCATTATAGTTTCCATTACTACTCCTTTTTTATTTTTATAATGATTTTTTAAAACTCACTTTTATACATATTCAGTTATTTTAATGTGACGGTTTTCATATTAACCATATTAGTTATCATTCCGTTTAGTCCACGTTTTCTTTATTTCTTTTTCACATTTTTCATCTTCTTCCTTCCTTCTTTTTTGTTCTCGCAGAACATCTCCTTCTTTGTTTCTCCTTCTTCTTAATTTCATAATTAACACGATACACTCTAGAAAAAACCTAAAATTTTTATTATTGTTATTCCTAACAATTAAATTAGGGTTGTGGTAGAAATTCAAAAAATACAACATCGTCATCATTTGCCCAGTGCCCAGACGACCCAACCTATCATAATCGAATCGCTGCCATGGTTTACCCCGGATTTCACATTTGGAGAGGGAAGAACATGCCATTACTGTACGACCTGATCATCTGCCACTCCCTAGAGTGGTCGTCCCTCACCGTCCACTGGATGTCGTCGCCGCCGGCGGGGATCTCGCCGTCTACAAATTGATCCTGGGTATGCACACATCCGATAATTTCTCTTGCACTGACGACGGAACAGTTCGTAGATCAGACCAATAAATTGATTGCTCGTCCAATGGCGGAGCGGGGTCTTCCCGTTCACCTTGACTCGGTTGTGGGTGATCCACGAGTTCTGCTCTCAAGCGGCGAACGATCGGACCTCGGTTGTGGGTGGAAGAAGCGATGTAGGCATACATTCAATCCCAAGTGAAGGATAAAAATTG